ATCGACTCCACGAGAACATAAACACAAGATCACATCGTGTCACACAGCTGAACGGGCTGCATTGGTAGCTTTCAGCCAAATGTGATACTTGGCATAGAAAACACAATTCCAGCCTTTCAGACATTTATAACATACATCCAAAAAAAGCATTCGTTTTATGCTATGCTGTAAAATATAATGGCCCCTAATCTGTGCGTCATCGGCTTTGCGCTTCCGCCCTACGATTAGGTGAAAAATATCCCATATATCTTAAATCATGAAAAAGAAAAGCATTCCTGCTTCATGGTAACATGCTTGGAGGAAACAGGAAGACCATTGTAGACGGGAAGCTGACACTCAAAACGAACTGTACACCATGTAACTCTTGTCTAACATCCTAGCCAATGACAAAAGAAATAATTGTTGCTGAAAGACCGATTTAGAGCTGATTCATGCCATCCTGCGCTCTATTGGAATGATAATAAGCTCGATTTGCATGTTCATTAGCCATTACCCATAATTCTTTTTGACAGCGGCATAAATGTTCAAGAAACAGCTGTCAGTGCCTCCAGTGTTTATGGGAGTGTTGCTTTGCCTTAAATGGTCAAGCGTTTCGCAAATGTGCCAATCCACTGATGTTTAACATTTGTTACTTTAACACCAGTTTTCTGCTTTAATAGCAGACTCCATCATCACAGAAAAAGAAAAACGAGCTGAAAGTGCGAGCTGAAAGTGCAAGCTTCAGACCACAAAAGCATTAAAACAGTAATTTCTTTGTTTTCACCTCTGGCTCAAAAATCAGCAGGCAATTTTTTCCCAACAATGAGAAACATTCATTTTCTCTTTAGACACAATGGGTCTGGAGCTAATTGGACAAAAGTTACAAAGTTTAAAGTTAAGAATACTGGAAACACATCAACATACAGTATATTTATGAATCTTAAACTACAGTAAATGTGTTAAAATTTGGATGCATTTTAGACAGCACAGAAACAGCAATTTATAAAAGCCATGGATGTTTGAGGGCCCCGATACAATAATAACCAATAGTTTGCCATCTAAATTGTTAGTAAGTGTGAACAGTGTGTAAAAATAGGGATTGGTAAGGCATTATAGCAAACACACAATCAGAGGTTTAGCAGACTGCCCAGGATGTTCTGTTCTGTACATACGAAAATGAATGGGGACAGGCTTATTATTTTCACTTTTGGTGTGAAAGGGCATTTACAGTTGCCAAAAATATAACTTTTGTTTTTTTTTTTTTAAAAAAACAGCCCAGGCGACAAAAAGTAACGCAAAAGTAAGATAATGCATTACTTTCCATTAGTGCTGTCAATCGATTAAAAAAAATCACAAATTGCATTTGTGCAAATGAAAAATGCTCCCGGAGCTGCTTCCGTGTACAACTGTTGGCACAAGCAATATAACTTTTTTATTTTAAAAACAAACAAGCAAGCCCTGTCCAGATTTAAAAAGCAACGCAAAAGTAACGTAATGCATTACTTTCCATAAAAAGTGTAAGTAGCACAATTAGTTACTTTTTTTGGCGTAACGCAATATTGTAATGTATTACTTTTAAAAGTAACTTTCCCCAACACTTGTTATACACTGAAAATCTTCCCTTCCACCACTGTTCTCATATTGCATTCAGACTTCATTATATTCAAACCTCATCTGATCCCACGATACCAACACTTGCATCAAATCTGGTACAATATGCAGCATATTTGAATACTGAAGAACTGGCAACTTTTATGGTCCTTTTCTGGTGTTTTTTCCCCATGGTCACTGTTTGCTGGCAGTATATGGAAAAAAGTCAACATTCTAGGTATTTTGTGTAAGAGAATCATATAGGAATATTCACAACTGCCTTCTTTAATAATATATGAATGTTCAGAATCAGAAAGAGCTTTATTGCCAAGTATGTTTACACATACAAGGAATTTGTTATGGTGACAGAAGCTTCAACAGCACAATAAAAATAGAATAAGTAATAGGAAATAGCAATATACAACAAACGAAGACAAACACAATATACAAAATAGACAATAGATTGTATTTGTATGTACAGGTGTATGTACAAATGCAAGGAAATGTAAATATAAAGTATGGTGTGTTAAATAAATAAATAAATGTATGTATAGTGTTGTATATTAGATGTTTATTGTAAAGTGAATTGCCTGAGGGAAGAAACTGTTCTTATGCCTGGCCGTTCTGGTGCTCAGTGCTCTGTAGCGCCGACCAGA